GGTGATGATCGCGTCGCGGGACGGAATTAAATGTGGCGCGACCCACATTAATCTGCGACATTCTAATCATGCTTATCGAAATATCAGCTCGCGGCGATATCCGCGAGCGATAATTGGTCCTCTCTTTGTGACAGATAATCCGCGGATTGATGCGTCGACGATCACGTTACGTAAATTGTTGCCGAGCGTAGTGCCAGGTGCCCAGTTCCTAAGTGCAAAATATGGTCGAGCCAAAGATTAGAAAGCAGCAGATACGATCTTGCGTCGGGAATGATCGCCGATTTCGAGGGGTTTACCGGAGAGCGCAGCGAGGTTACGAGTATAATTCGAAAATTACAGCTCGCGGCCGGCGGCACGCGCAAATCCTTTATCCTTTCATGTTAACGCGAGGAAAGCGTTTGCGAATGCGTTCGACGTCGCGTACATGCACACACAATCCGGTACGATCCTTTATACATCGCTCTCCGTAACGAGCAGAATAAACAACGCACCGCGAGCGACTTTTGTCCGCGCGAATTTTCGGCATTTAATCGCTTGTAACTTGAGCCAACGAGAAGTATGCCGCATGAAAAGTCCTGGGGTTGGGAAATAGAAAAGGAAGAATGAAAAAAAAAGAAGCAACACGAATAAGGTAAATGTAACCCAGTAACCGCCGGACCTTTAAGCGTAGGTCGTCACAAAAGATACAGAATATAATATTAAGAATAGTTTTGATATAAATATTTGCGTTCATTCGAAAACTTAAGACTCCCTCAAGTAGAGAAAAATGATTTAAACCAATGTATATATCTATTATTAATGAAATATTTACGCAAGTGATAAAGTGCATTAATGTACCAGTGATTAGACCAGTTGAAATAGATTGTGTTCGGATATAATTGTCTCAGTGTCTGACCGCGATTAGAAAACTAGTACGTGCCGACGGGAAATAATATAAGTATAGATAAGTATAGCTATCTGTTAATGAATTTACTAACTATTGACCATTACTTTGCCGAGCCACAGGTGCACACTTATTTAATTAATTTTTATTTCAATACAAAAAGTATCAAATTGGGTATGTTTTTTCAACTAATCCTCAAATATCGCAGCTCTCTTTTACAATAATTATTACAATAATTATTACCTTCATTCGTCATTATTGTTAAAATAAATAGTAAATAATTTTTTTCAAAGTAGTCAGATATACTGGCACGTTTACCTAACCCGGTAAAAAACCCGGTAAAGTGTTACCGCGGCGATAGGAAGAAAGTCCTTAAGAAGAAAGTTATTCAAAATCAATTAAATTATTAACATTCCACACGCGTCGCCGCCAACGACGCGATCCCTCGGATAGCGTTCTTCGCTCGAAAAGCAAAACTGCACTTGACCGCTGACGGTTTTATTTTCACACGCGCGTAGCGGCGAGGCGGAGGCGACGGCGCTGGCGAATTGCGCGAGACGAGACGAAATTTCCTTCGCGAGAATAATATTCAGCGAGGAAACAAAAGACGCGGTATAAAAGGGACGATGTAAAAGGCCTGGCGGAGAGGACCGCGAGAGCTCTACCTGCGCGTTTGATATATCGGCTTCGGCGGCCGGATAGATGGATTACAATCATTCCGGGAGCTGGGGTGGTCAAATACCGTGACCATGCGTGCTTCAAACGTATCCTCGCGCACGCACACCTATACGTATGGCGCACTTTCGAGTACACACGTGGCGCCCGTGCGTGCAACGCGCGCTGCAAGGACGTATTTTCAAGCGCCAGAACGCAGAAGGTACACGCCGCGGCGGCACGGAACATTTTCAAAATCACGAGCTGCTTCTCCCTCGCCGTGTACGCGCGTACTTTCGGATTTCTCGCGGTCTGCCGGGTGCCGCTCGCGAACTCATCATCGCTTGCGTTTAACTGTGCCCGCGCCGCGGATTGTTATCGCGCTGTTGCAACGTCGATAACAATACGGGAATTTGATTAGCCGCCCGAAACGGCACGTTTATTTTTATCTGTATGTATAATTGTCGTACACTTTCTCACTCTGTTGCTTTGTATCCTCGACGACTTGATTTTAATGATCGCGGTTGATATCGCGGAAAGACTGAGAGAAAAGGGGAGGGGAAGGATACGAAGAATTTTCAATGTCCTCTCTCTCTCTCTCTCTCTCTCTCTCTCTCTCTCTCTCTCGCACGTCGCGTAATTCAGCCGGGAGAGAATACTTTTCATGTTTTGTATATCTCTCTATGGAAACGAACGAACTGCGGGGATGAGTCTTATAATACCGTGGACCAGGGGAAGAGTTAATCTCTCGTATTTCGGAATAACAGTGTTACGGGATTACATTTGGCCTGTGACTTCTTTTCTGGGATACAACTGCGCGCGCGCGCGCGCGGATATGGACAATGCACAGCTCTCGAGGTGTTCCCGTACAAATTGAGCAAACGCCGTTCGATGCTCTTTCACAAGAAAGAGATCGGGATATTTAGCGGCGAGGATATTTAGCGGTGTGGATATTTAGCGAATCGGCCGCAGCGTCCAGCGTTCTTGGAGAAAACATTGGTTAATCTCATTAAAATTGCAGTCATCCTCGACGAGCGACCACAGCCTGTCGTTGGCTCGAACACGAGAGCGACGAGATAGCGATATATGCGCGAGCGAGATGCGTCGTCATTAACAGCGAGGCTCACTGCAAAAACGTGCCGCGTGCTCCTAATAATTCCCGCACTGTGCGATCATCGACACACACGTCATAAGCGTTATTGTTTCAGAGCAGAGCGCACGGCGAGGCGAGGCGAGGCGAGTCGCTCAGCCGAGGTGCAGCAACCTCGCGTCATTTTCGCGCCGGTGAAACTCGCCATCTATCAAACCGCTTATCCCTTCGGCCGACTTAATAATTCCTTTTTATAATGACGAAGGCGCGCGCGGAGTTAGAATGATTGATGGCGAACCGGAGCGTGTCGTATTAACGATGACCTCGCCTCGGCTGCGCTTCGCCGTGGCGAAGCCCCGCGCGCGCGTCAGATGGCCCCTCGCGAATCCTCGTCTCTCATCTTGGCGATATTTTTTTACCGCCGGTAATTTTTCGACTCGGCCGAAGGCGGCCGACGATCGACGAGAGATCGAACGAACGAACGAACGAACGAACGAACGAACGAACGAACGAACGAACGAACGAACGAACGAACGAACGAACGAACGAACGAACGAACGAACGAACGAACGGTCAATGGAGACACGCGGTCTTATTCCGCTGAATGCCAGAACATGAACACGGTCGTGCCACAGGAAGAAGGCAGGGGCACATCCGTATCGTGGTCAGAACCCGTGACCCCCCGATATATACGTGGCCGCGTGTAAACGTACGCGCGTCCGTCCACACAGCACACACGCGAGCCGCGGCTTTGCCAAGGATTATCCCCCACCCCTCGTTGCCCTCGCTTTTCATTGTAAAATCGCGAAGTATCGGATATATACGCAGGTGCTGAATTCGACCCCGAATTTTTCATGCGGCCCGTCGAAGAAAAGTGAACCAGCGAGAGGAGAGGAGAGGCGAGGCGAGGAGAGGAGAGGAGAGGAGAGGAGAGGAGAGGAGAGGCGAGGCGAGTCGCCCGACATCGCGCGGCTGCGCTGCGGCGAGCGTTATTACGCTCGCGCGCGAATAATTATTTCCTTCTCGCATTCAGCCGATCATATCTACGTCAGGCGATCGTGCGTCTTACAAATAACATCGCCTTTTACCTTTCTGTTTTCCTCGTTGTAGACTGCGAGTGCGCGCTCGAATTCATAAAGGAGTCGCTCTCGCCGGCGTATCTCTGTTGTTTTAATTTATAACGACGCGCGTTTTCGCGAGGGAAGAGCGCGCGACGCGACTCCGCGCCGCGTTGAGAGATCTTCGCGGAGATGAAAATGCCGGAGGTGAAAGTGCGAATCTCCGTGATTTTCTTTTGCCCCGTCGCTTCTGCATTCGTTGCGACGCAGAAGCGGAGGGCAGCGCGGCCCGTTTGCTTATTTTGGGTGTCGGGATAATCGCACGCATCACACGTGAAGTGGTCGGCTGCTTTGAGACGCGAAAGAATGTGCCAAATTGATGACGAGGAATTAAGCGGACTGAAAGCGCCCAGGGGTGCAAGAAGCGGTAGGGTAGCCAATTAGCTGTGTAATGCCAGAAAGGGGTTGCTTCTCGCCCCTCGTGCTGCTCTCGCCGGCAACGAATATAAACGCTGCGTTATTTTTATGTGCAAGTTTGGCGGCGGAGGAGGAGGAGGAGGAGGAGGAGGAGGAGGAGGAGAGAGAGAGAGAGAGAGAGAGGGAGAGAGAGAGAGAGAGAGAGAGAGAGAGAGTCCCCGCGAGAACGATGCCACGTTAATCCACCGCGTAAACGTCTTTGTCGGGGAATTTGATATTCCACGTCAAATTAGGCTTTCCGTAAACTCGATTTATGGGGCGAAAGGGTGGAAAGAAAGAGAAGGAGGGGAAGTGCATGGAAATAATATAAAATATGATGCATCGATCGCGCAGTCTCATTTTCCACCTTCCACCGCTCGTATTTATCTGCAAAAATTATTTCTCAAGCGTGGAGAGACGCAAGTCCCCCCCGTGCATTCGGATGTTCGAAACGTCACTCTCTCAGTCCTCTTTGAACTCTTGCTGTTTTTGCGAGCAATTTTTATCAACGGAGTAGCCGCACATTGTGGCCGGCAGCGACCGGCGCTAAAATATCGCCGCGTCTCATTAATTTACGTATGAAACGTAAGCAAGTGCGCGCGACAAATTAAATTTACAGCCGCCACGGAGGCGATGAAACGGGCTCGCGAATATTACATGTACATCGCGAGGCGCGCGTTCATTTAGCGCACTTTTGCCGATTCAAGCTCGAGTCGAGCGTTATATATAAATAATAACGAGCGGAAAATCAGCGCTGCGGTCGACGCGACCTGAATTTCCTCGGAAGAAACGAACGCGATCCCGTCGACAAATTGCCCCGATGTGCGACAACTCCGTCCGGCCTGAAACGAAGGATTACCTGCACTTGGTCCGTCTTAGCAGCCACCCATGCCTCTACGAAAGTGTCCATCGCGCTCTGAAAATCCATTCCCTTGCGGGGCCCCTCAATAGTTTTCCTGAGCCTCGGAAGTCGCAGCCATTCGTGACATGTCACGTAGCTCTTGAATCCTCACAAATTCGCGCTGTCGATACCGTCGATGTGTATGCGCCGTGTGTGTGTGTGTGTGTGTGTGTGTGTGTGTTGTGTGTGTGTATATATGTATGTATCTGTGTGCCCGCGCCCGCGAGCTGACACTTATTAGCCGAGAGTCAGATACAGCAATAAGAAAGACGCCGACAGTGTCTCTTCAAGTGTCAATACATATCTTGTCCCTCGGAACAGTTTTACGTCACACTGCGAGACCACCCGCGCGTGTCGCGACGAATATCGGCGCGATAGCAAGCTTGACATGAAACTTTCTATATTCACGATTGAGATCACAGATGTGTGTGTGTGTGTGTGTGTGTGTGCGCTGGGACGCGCCGCGCCGCGGTCGCGAGAGTGTCCACCTCCGCTTGTCTCTCTCTCTCTCTCTCTCTCTCTCTCTCTCTCTCTCTCTCTCTCTCTCTCTCTCTCTCTCTCTCTTTCTCTCTCTCTCTCTCTCTCTGTATATTCTAACGACTTTTCTACTGTTCTACGTCTTAATTCCTCGCTAACGAATGCGCTCGACGATTAGCGCGTGCTGCCTCTCGGCCAATTTCCTCCCCCCTTTTTTCTCTCCTCTTCTTCCTTTTTCCTGCCCGTTCCTCCGAACCGTGCGAGACCACTCGGACACGCCTACGATCGTATATACTACACGATCTCGCTCCTATATAAGCTCTATTTGGTATAGCGTGAAATATTAAATACGACAGAACGGGCCGCGTACTAGTGACTAGACTGCGGAAAATCACACACGTGCTCGCAACTCATTACGATAAGTATCGTGTCCGGAGCGAAGCTCCTCCCGTTCGAGCGATCTGTGCAGTCCTCCTCCACCGCTCGCTCTCTCGATCGCACCAGTCGTCGCGGCGGCGCGGCGCTCGTGCGTCCAGGACGTCACGTACACGATTTGCTCAACACCGGCGAGTCCGAGTCCCCCGATTATCGATCACCAAGGTCGATCACCTGTCGTCGCTCATCTCCTCCGGGAGAACCACTATTTTTCGGCGCTCACGCGCACCTCGTCACTGCTTATCGGAACCGAACATGTGCGTGCTCCGAAACTCGGCTCTGATCGATCTCTTCAGGGTTCTTCTCCTCCGGGACAGAAAGAGAAAGAGAGACAGTGAGGGAGAAAGAGAGGAACAGGGAGGAAGAAGGAGAGAGGGAGAGAGGGAGAGAGAGAGAGAGAGAGAGAGAGAGAGGGAGAGAAAGAAAGAGAAAAAAAAGAGAGAGAGGGAGAGAAAGAGAGAGAGAGAGAGAGAGAGAGAGAGAGAGAGAGAGAGAAAGAGAGAAAGAGGAAGCCTCCGCGCCGCCGAGGATCCAATCGCGACCGCGTTCACATCGTTCCCGCTCCTCCGTCCAGGATGACTCTCTGGATTTCAGCAACCACGACTGGCGATCGGGCCGGGCACCGGCCAAATGTCATCCGCGACTCGCCGAGGACGAGCACGGGCCACGAGGACAACACGTTCGCAAGCAACGGCGTTCGAGCCGCGACTGTGCGCGTCGAGGCGTCGCGGCGCTCGTTCTGCCCCTACGACGCCCTACCCGCGAGCGCGCGTATCAACCCCACCACCATGTCGCCGCCGCCGCCGCCGCCACTACCACTACCATCACCAGCAGCAGCAGCAGCAGCATCACCACCACCACCACCACCACCACCACCACCACCACCACCATCGCCACGGCACACGGTAGTCGCCGTCTACCGTCTACCGAGAGATCGTGAGAGAGTGTCTCCTCTGGTCCCGCTCCGCTCGGCTCCGGTGCGCTTCACCCTCGCGCTCTCATCGGCTCTCTCTCCTCCGGAACCACCTTCGTCGTCCTCCCGCGATCCCGCCGTCACCGCTCCCTCTTGATCTTCCCCTGATTCCAAGCTCCCGAGAGCGAGGAAGCTCCGGATAAGGCGTCGTCCCTCCCGCGCTTCGCCGCCGCCTCCTTCTTCTCTTCTCTGGCGTCTTCTCGCGGAGGCGAGCCTCTCTCTCTCTCTGTGCCGCTCCGGCTGCGTGTTTACCTGCTTTTGCGCGTATTGTTCCGATGCAGCGTCGCCTCCTCGTGCACACGCACGCTTCTTTCCTCTTGCCGCGAGATCGCGAGGAATCACGCTGATGGATCGTGATAGCGACCGCGAATTTCATCGCGCGCGGAATCGCGTAATCGACGCGCGAGGACGAGGTAACGCTCGCACCGCGAGAACTTTTTTGACTGATTTCCGGAAGGAGGAGGAAGGCACTCCTCGCCTTATCGATCTCTTCGGCGTGCATGAACATTCTCTCACTACCGCTGTCCTTCGTCCGTCGCGCTTCTTTTTTATTCGCCTGTTAATTCTCGTCGCTCTCGCGGCTTTTGAGCGTTTTCGCCCTTTCGCGAAATTGTCTCGTCTTTCTCTTCTTCAGTTTTGCGATACGTCGCACACTGTTTCCCCCTCCCCTCATGAGGTCTCTTGTTTTCTCTTTTTTCAAGCAGTCACGATCATCTCATCGCGCGTGCTTCTGTTTCTTTCTTTTTTTTACGAATGTTGATTTTGGCGTCGTTTCCGCCGCAAGTCGGTCTTGTTTCCATTTTTCTCGACGAATTTGCATCTTCCCTCCTGTCCCGCGCGCGACATTTCTCCGCTTGCCACTCTTCGTCAATTTTCCTCCGCAGGAATTTCCTACTTATTTCCATCTGTATGCTTCTTCTCCTTTGTGCGCTGGCGAATTCGTTCTCTCATCCCGCAGCAATCTCGTTCTCCCGTCTTTTTCCTTTCGGGATCCTTCTTCCATCGCACTCCTATCCTCCCCACTCTCGTGTGCACTTCGGCATCCCCGCCACGGGAGCGTTTCGGGGGTGTGTCTAGAGATAAGGTGCACATACACCGTCGCACCTGTCCGCCTGCAACACGTTCCGTGAGAGCCTCGCGACTGCCGATGACCCGGCTTAAGCGCGGAAGGAGCATCAAGCGCTATCCATATTATCGCATCGATCTTTCTTTTCTTCCTCCTGCGGTCTCGATTGCGAAGCATCCCCGTGCGCACTTGAAATAAGTCCTCGGATGATACATCTGTAAAGGAATTTATGTCATGCGTCTCCGTGCGAGCTGCGACATGTGGAAGCTCTTTGTCGGCGGAGCGTTTAGATTAGCGGATTATATGGTGAAACAAAGACATCGCAGTGTGAGAGCAATTTTTTAATCTTGAGGAATATTTATATCGTTCGGCACATAGTGTAATATATTCCCCGGAGAGAGGGAGAGAGAGAGAGAGAGAGAGAGAGAGAGAGAGAGAGAGAGAGAGAGAGAGAGGGAAGAGTGCTTTTGTATAAAAAATGTTCTTGAATAAGCCGAGTTTGAAATTTTTGATTTTTATGACAAATGTTTATGCCTGATGACTGATCTCAACATGAAAGATTAAATAACGCGAATTTGTATTCGCTTTCGTTTTGCGGCCAGCGTCGCAGTGTAAGTAAAAAAGACAACGGTGCTAAACGTGAGTCTGCGGATACATTGCAATAATAATTAAATGCGCGTGTGGCGTACGATCGTTTAATACCGCGCGATAAGCGGCAGCAGATGCGTATCCGGATTAGAAATTGATTCGATAGAGCCCCATTCCTTGACCTTCGTAATAAAAACAATCAAGATCCGAGAGATCGAGCATTCATCCGCTGATAAGCGGGCAGATTAACAGCGAGCTAATTTCGAAAAATTGTTTTTGTGACCGCTGTGTTTGTAGCGCACACACAATTTGATTTGAACGATTCCAAATGTAGTTCCAAAAATGTAAGTCAAAGGAATGTAGCGCTTATAAACGCAACATCAAATGTCGCAAATTCAATGCAAGTGAAGTCGAGAGGCAACCTTTGAGCAACGAGGCAAAAAAAAGAGATATGAAAAAGACGACAGATCTCACAGATATACATATATACAGGGTGTCCGGGATCTTTTGGAAACGAAAAATTGTGAAGATTAATCAGATGAAAGTGAGAAGAAAAGTCATGCACCATTTTGCAAAAATTGCAATAATTATCAAGTTATTAATGATTGAAAGTGACCACATCTAGAGACTCTTTTAATTGATAACTTGAAAATTTCCATACTTATTTGCAAAATGATCAAGAACTTTCCTTCTCAGTTTGATTCGATTAATCTTCGCAATTTTTCGTTTCCAAAAGATCTCGGACACTCTGTATGTTGTAAATGGAAATTGATAAATTTTTTATATTTTTTATTTATTTCATCAATGAAGCAACGGAAGAGTATTTCCAGGTTAAAATAGCAGTATTTAATGCAGAAATCGCTTCTCCCTCCGATACGGAAACTGCAGTTCTCTCTCTCTCTCTCTCTCTCTCTGTCTCTTTCTCTCTCTCTCTCTCTCTCTCTGTCTCCCTACTCTCTTTCTCTCTTCGACCGTAGCGCTATTAAAATGAATCGCTCAAGCCGGAGAACGTCAAAGGGAATGTGTATACGCGCACGTACGTATTCGCGGTAATGTCTGTAAATGTCACCGTTGGATTAGACGATCTCTGGGAATTAATTTCCACAGACGACGAATAAGTATAGCATCGTCGTTACCGATCCTTACAGTATCCACGAATTTCCGGTGCTTCGCGAGCAGCATCCTTCCTGATTACGTTTCCTTTTGCGTTTGCGTTTGCGTGCATGCGCATACATGTGTATGTGTGTGTGTGTGTTCACACACGCGAGGCTATGTGTGTGCTTCGCGTCGTCGAATGCGACGCGAAATAACCGATGCTTCGGCGCGATCGAATAAAATAAGTGCGTTATTATCGGCTGATAATCCGCTGGGGAATTGGGTGAATTCGCGATTCAGATTCCGTATCGGATATCTGGCCGTTTTCGTATCGGCGGATTAACGGCGAAATGAAGTATTTGCGACGTAACGCGCGAGGGTCTTCAGAAGTTGGGCAGATAACGCGGCGGTTACGTAACGCGGTGACAAAATTTGCCCGATAACTTTTTATCGGCGCCATTATCTGCCTATTGTTGCGCCCGGCGAAAATGCTCGCTCGCTCTCTCTCTCTCTCTCTCTCTCTCTCTCTTGTTTTTTGATTGCGGAGAAGAAAAAAATACGAGTTGGAAGGTGGCAATGTCGTACCGATTGCACGCGTCGATTGCGATATTGCGAACTATCGTTTCCTGTTTCCGGTGGATGATACGCGATAATTATGGCGACCGCGAGAGCGTTCAACGGCAGAATTTTCCTCGTACGAATCCGCCCCCCGTTGCCGCTTGCGAAGAAGATTTTCACGAGCTTGTCGTCGCGCTTGATGTCGTTAGCGCGGCGCAAAAGTCTAAACGAATAAAATCAACTGCCTCGCGCCATCGGTATGGGGATTTATTGAAATGAAGGTAGAAAAATAAAAGGCAGAAAAATACAAACTGCCGCAGCGCTTGCACGGCTTAATTCCG